TGTCAAACTCCATTCCTAACGATCCCTTTCTCCCTAAATCTTTGTATTTAAATAAAGAAGTCCTCCTTTCCTGAATAGGAACTAAGAAAAAGTAAAAACTATCGGATATAAATATTATTATCAAAAAGGTTCAGAGCTGATGGTGATATCGCGTAATATAAATAAGGAAGACTATTTGGGGTCGATTCTGATGCGTCATTTTATTAAACCTATCTCATAACTTGATATTTTAAGTTAATAGTTTGACGACATTACTATTTTATGAATCATTGTAAATTAAATTTATAATAATTTTGTTATAAATATATTCGGTCAATCGATGGGGTAAGGTAAAGTCGGAAACGCGCATGTGACACCCCTAGTATTGCAGGCGTTCGTAAACTACAGTGAACGTTTACTATCAGACAGACTGTATGCTTGTTTGCCATCTTTGTGGTATAAAAAAAAATAGAAATTTAGTACATATTGGTATTTACTATATATAGTTCATATAAGTTCAAATTGGCCACGTAATTGCATAAGATGGACACGGACACCATGGAGACGAATTGAGAACTTCTGGAAGTTGTTTAACGCGCACATGTATTTTTTTTATACAACTTAGAATGGCAATCAAGCTGACGGCCCACCTAATGGAAAGTGGTAACCGTCCCCTATAGACATGAGCAGTACCATGGACAAAACAGAGTATACAGTTTCGCCCGTGATACCCCCCATGCGTTGCCATTCCTGAGGACTCAGATATTATTCCTCTGTACCCAGTAAATTCACGCCATATCCCATCCTTCAAACCGAAACACAGCCATGCATACACAACTGCTTGACGGTTGAAACACAAATGGGACAGAGGTACCCAAGCAATCGACTTTTGTACAAAGTCTCTCTCTGGTATGTATTGGGAATATTCGTATTTTGAAGTCTGTTACAAAGCACACTTTATTTCCTCAAAGTATACGCTATTTGTTTCGTCTTACGAATAGATTACAGTGAAGATTAAACCCGTATCAGGGAAATCCTGCAGTTGGCGCGAACTACCAGACGGTCGGAATCCGCGAAGGCGCGTTGTAGGGTTGTCACCTCTTATTTGGAAAACCAACAGTACAATTAACATAAAAATGTTACATAATAAATATTTTCTCAAACATTCTTGGAAATGTGAGCATTATTTTGACAATCTTCTTCGAGATAAATCAAAATTGCCGTACTGGCCAGATACATGCGGGCAGCGGCCGGCAAAAGTTGTATGAAAATCCATATCTGTCGTGTTTCGCGGCCAGATAAATTACTATGTAAACTCATATCTGTCCTGTAATTTAAAAATGTTAAAAATGGAATGACCTTTCACTTCGAAACATGGCTACCAAGGAGGTAAGTAATAAAAGGTTTTATTTAAATTTCGAACTGGCTTGCAAATAGAAAGCTGTTTATTGAAAAAAAAACAAAGGAACATTATGGCGCGTGAAAAATTATTATTATTCGTTATTCGTCATTGAACTTAAAAAGTAATTTTGTGTTTTTGATTTCCGCGCATTGTTTGAGAAAAGTACTATACAAGCCTTGGCCACAACTAGGCATTGATGGACTCACATATGTGTGCCTCGGCTACGCCTCGGCCCACATTTGCACGTTCGTCCATCAATGCCTCAGTTGCTGGTCGCTGCCGTAATGTACTATTAGTAATCAATAAGGTTTTCACTAATAACTTTTACAAACACACCAAAGAAAGTTCGATATACAGCATTAAAAAAAAAAGAAAATACTATGATGCAAATACTGGCCTAAAAGGCCGGCAGCACGCCTGCAATGCCATTGGTGTTGTGGGTGATCATGGGCGGCGGTAGTCACTTATCATCAGGTGAGCTGCATGCTCGTTGGCCCCCTGTGTTGTAAAAAAATCTGTCTCATTATACGATTTAATGTAATAATTATATACTTTTCTGTTTGTGTGTGTTACATTATTACTAATTTTGTCGTAATTTAATTTGGTATTTTTTTTTTTTGAATAAAATTGTTGTTGGTTTTGTTTCATGGAATTAAATTATTTTACCGTGGCATTGCCAGCGCGGAACAGTGGAAGCTTCTGTATGGTTAGAATTTTAGAGCATACTATCTTGACGTATTACACTGTATTCTATTATGTCTAAGGTGTTTTTATAGTTTATGGTAGTTCCTGCTTCCCTTCAAGTGGACGGGTCAGTATTTGAAACTCCCAGTAGTGTAAAAATACTGTTGACGCACAATATCACAAATTGCCAACCCTAACAAGAGTCAGCGTAAATATTTGCGCAAGTTATAATTGGATGTATTGGAGGGGGATCATTGAAGATGCTTGCTTTGCGCAGTTTTTAATTTCCAAATTATTTTTACGCTCCGCTGTACATTGTTTGCACAGTTCAGATATCTGATCTGCGTAAATTATTTTGTTTTTTTTTTTATTTATACGAATTGAGATTATCTGTAGTAGGGTTGTCACGATTACGATGTGATGACTCGTTAGCGATTCCTAAAAGAGCTCAATTTTTTTGTTTTTTATTTTATTTTTTGTGTTACACGATTGACTATGTCACAAATTTTGAACTGTTTTTTACAATCTATCTTTAAGAAGTAAGATTTAAGAAGTAAGATTCTAAAATACTTAACCAGTTTTAAAAATTCTTTCACGTGGACTGTATTTTCAATAGACTTGAACAAGAAGGAGATTGTCAATTCGCTTATATAATTTTTTTTTATTTTTGTTACTTCATAACTTCGTCAGTTTTAAACCGATTTGAACAATTATTTTTTTTATCTGAAAATATATATTTACAGATTAGTTTCATGAAAATTTTATAAAAATTGGTTCAGTAGTTTACACATCAAAATAACTGATTTTGTCACAATTTAAGTGTTTTTTTTTTTTGGGTACAGTCTGTAATTATATTTTTAAAATTTTCTTTTTTTTTGCGTGACGAAATGTAAAATGCGTCCTATGTAGATGAACGGATTTGAATGTAATTTGGTACACGAGTAGGTTACATCCTAACTTAACGAACAGGACACTTTATATGTTAATCCACGCGAGGAAATCGGTTTTTTTGAGACACATTCTTTAGTTATATAAAAAAAAAAAATACATCTATTTATCCGTGCGCAGTCGGGGCGGGTCGCTAGTTTATTATAACACGATAGGATTATGTTGTTGACATTGCGTTGTTTTCGGTCCGCCAACGCAAACACATTGTTTGTATTCCATTTGGATTTACTGGCGGCGAGTTAACACTAGTGTTGTTTCAAATATACGAATTTTGAAATTAATTGCGTTGTCTGAAAGTGTTGTATTGCATTTTGTTGCGTAAAAAAATTAAGGGCCGATTCATATTTGAAATAGGCACAGGAGTTCACCCTTATATATACCTTCGTATAGCCTAAATGGTCGCGTACAGCGTTTTTTTAATGGGTGATATTGGAATACTCCATACAAATGCTTTGGGAAAAATGTTTTTTTTTTAATGGGTGATAATCGAATGGTAACCCCACCCGCGCTATCGGTACACCGGCGTATAAAAAACGTTCTTTGTCGAAAATGTCCCATGTGTTCTCTAGTAGAATAATTCTTTTAAATTTTTTTATAAAATAACTTTGATTTTATCAATGAATTATTACACGCAAGCGAAGCCGGTAACGGAGGCTGGTTTTACACGTATTGCTAATCTTTATTGCGACCACCGACGGTTAGGATATGGAAATTGTATTACGGGATTAAGCCCTTCGTCTAATTGTCTGCTTGTTGTTTTATAATTAGGTTTATGTACTCAATGTAACATTGTTTGTTTGCTTCAGTGGGAATTGATTAATCCTTTAATGGCAAGGTTGGTTCTCCATATAATATGATGCAGGACTGTTACTGATTTTTGTGGGTGAAAATGGTGTGGTAACCCCGCCTGCGCTAACGGGATACGCTGGCGGAGCACCAGTGAAGGGTGATAGATGAGAATGAAAACAGGCCAGTTAGCCCATCATGATGAATTCATCAGGAATTAACTATGATAGTTTCCAGAGAGAACCGCGAGGAGGTCGACCTGGTTGGGTATATTACTAGCAATGGGATTCTCAGTCTCCATTACTAACAATCCCTTTCCCCCGATTGTTACTGGTTAGCGTCACTCTTGTTTTATTTTATTTTTTACTAGTGGCCTGTTTCTGCTTCGCACGGGTGGACATTTTTACAAGTAGTTTTTGTGACATAACGATAATAATTGGACATATAGTATCGCGAAGTTTTTCGTAGTTACTGATATATATATATATATATATATATATATATATATATATATATATATATATATATATATATTCTTTATTGCACTAAAACATACAGTAACAACAAAAAGGTAATAACAATGTTAGCAAAGGCGAAATTATCTCTAAAAGAGATCTCTTCCAGTCAACCTAACACAGCGGCATATTATCTCTAAAAGAGATCTCTTCCAGTCAACCTAACACAGCGGCATAGGAAGTAGTGAGTGGGCAGTAGTAGTGCAAGACAGAAGTTAAATTAATATTTACATAAATTATAAATCATTATATATTATTATATATATACATATATATTACTACAAATATAGAAAGTTCTATTATCAGCCAGTAACATCTTTAAAATTTGAGATCTTTCACTTGTTCACACGTGTGAAGCTGAGGCGGTACTCTAGTACTTTTGCAAGTACTTACCACCCCTGGCGGGCGGGTTGACAACCGCAGTTTGGTTTCGGTGATGTTTTAATAGGAAAGCTGCTGCCCATCCATCGACCACTATATTTCATTAGTTACCTCTTACGACACCCGCGGTACAGGAAGGAGTGGTCATTCTATGCCAGGACCACATTACTGATCGACACCAACCCACCTGGGGTTGGCAACCGTAGTTTGGTTTTTGGTGATATTGTAAAAGGGACGCTGCTGCATATCCTATATTTTTACCATCCAATTCGGCACAGTTTCTGAAGCAGTATTTGTTGTTGCAGTTACCTCTGCTTGTGTGGCTGTATATCCCGCGCGGAGAAGGCCGGCGAAGCGAGGGAGAGCGTCCAGACCCTGCTCACGGTCTGCGCGGACCTGTGCCATCCTTGCGACCTTGATGTGGTAAGTGTTAACGTCATATCAGCCTTTCATTGTTCACTTTTGAAAGTAGACCTAGTATCTTGATTACTTGTGAACTCGCTTCGAGTCTGTATCATTAAATATGTGATTTTTGAGTGACCACACCTGAGAGAGATTTTGTACAAAAGTTGTTTGCTTGGGTACCTCTATCACATTCCTTGTTTCTCCTATTAAGTAGTTGCGCTTGCATGGTGGTTTCTATTTGAAGGTTGCTATATGGTAATGTTATTATAAGTATAGAGACAAAGTAAAGATAAGACCATAGTTCGAAAGAAGAACTTACCAGAGGAAGGCTTTGTACCAGTCGTTTGCTTGACTTCCTCTGTCCTATTCATGTTTCTACCGTAAAGCAGTCGTGTTTGCATGGCTGTGTTCCAGTTTGAAGGGTGGGCATATGGCAGTGAATTTACAGGGTACAGAGAAATAACACTTTAGTCCTCAGGAGTGGCAACGCATGGGAGATATCATGGGCGAAACAGTATACTCTGTTATGTACATGGTACTGCTCATGTGTATAGGCGACGGTTACCACTTTCCATCACGTGGATTGTCAGTATGTTTGTTATTCTAAGTACCATCAAAAAATGTCTTCTTCACATCGGAAAATACACACATTGTCGTTGAAATAAGAACTTTAATGAAATTTATATTAAATTTATAATTTCAAAGCAACTTTATTTAAGTGTGATATCAAAAGAATCAAATCGTTCGCCCTTTATCCGTATATATCATAATTAAATGAATTCACAGGGATCAGAGCGTGCTTCAGCAACGCAGTCCCTCCGGTGTGCACTCGGCACCAGCGTGTGCGGCTCGCGGGCTGAGTTCTGCGTGCTGTTCGCTAAAGGTGCTGAGTTGAGCCAGAGCGGTGGTTTCGTGCGCGCTGCGCGGACCGCTCATCTCCTGAGGGCACTGGCCGAACTGGACCATCAAATTGTGCAAGTAAGTGTTGTAAAATCTGCGAAACTAATTGAAGTCGCATAGGCATGAGCATGGAGATAAATGATAATCATCCTGATAAGTACTCGGCTAAACTGTTTCAAGCCAAATTGGACCATCAAAAATCGTGAAAGTATTTCAATGTTGCAACATCTGCGAAGTTAAAAATGTTAAGTTAACAATGGTCGCGTACTGCGCGGTTTCAGATATGTTTACACTCAGGTTATGGAATGAGAACTTTTTTCTTTTTTTTTTTTCCGATGGTTCACTCGGGGTGAGTTAGGTTTACGGGCTGAGTTCTGTGGCCTGTTCGTTATGGGCGCTGAGTTATGGTATAAGTATATATTTATCGCTACGAATATGTTAATTTAATTCTAATATAGTATTGTGTAAGCCAGTGTTTTTCAATCTTTTTCATGACACAACCCCATTATTATGTAAAAATATTTTGCAACCCCCTACCCTCCACGGTTTCGAATGTGTATGAATTTTACTATAGTACAATTATGAAATCCGTACAGTTGTATTTATATTCACAGTTAGGTATCGATAAAATAAAATAAATAATACATAATAAAGTATATAAAACAGACATGTAATCGATGTCTGTTATAGATACTTCATTATATATTATTTATTGATTGATGTATTTACGGAATTGTTGATTTTTCACTGCTTTGCGACCTTCCGCGACCCCCTTGTTAGAGGCTCGGGGACCCCCCAAGGGGTCGTGACCCATACTTTAAAAAACATTGGTGTAAACGATACGATGCTTTGTTAGTTTGTGAATCTAAATGTTCATTGAATTTTGATGCAAATTGTAGTAAATGTTTAAAAAATCATTATTTTTACCCTAACAATCGATTTACAGATTAATTAACTGACTTTCCCCCTCTCCTTACCTCTATTCTTACCCTCGGCTTCGAGAAAAAGAAACGAAGACCAACAATATATTCAGCACGCATCTCGTTAGACGGCGGTGTTTGCTCTCAGCTCCTTAATTAGCTGTAGTATCATTACGGCGTGTTTGTTGAGGGTAAACAGAATGAATGCGGTGCACGGTAGCCGCTCCATCGACGTGTGAAGTTTTTTGGAGAAGGCAACGTTCGTAAATTATTTTACTGTGGTTCATTTCCATGTCATCTTGCTAATAACTAAGGTACGCGTGTTGTCAGAGTTTAGCTGTATTCCGCGGCTTTTCTCGCGTGAATTTAGATAAAAAATACTCAAAAATTAATTATATTTACTTTGAAATTCTTCAAATACTATTTTACCGTGAGAATCCAAATTTTCAGTAACAGTTTAAGAAACATATTACTGCATGATTAATGTTTGAAAGTACTTTTTAAATCTGTCAAAACATAATGGGCGAGGGATCGGCAGTAATCTCCTTTTATCACCAAAGCTTAAATACTGTTGCCAATCCTCCTGCCAAGCGTGGCAACTACTGGCAAAACCCCTTTTGTGGGGGAGATCTATGTTCAGCAGTGGACAGTAATAGCTGATATTATTATCATCATTATTACGATTTGGTAAAAACCCTTCTTTGCATAATGGTGGAAATTTCCATTATAACATTGAACGCCCAACAATTATATAAAAGTATAATTTCACTTTAAGTTGATCGTGTCTGGATGGATACCTTTTAATGTCCATTGCAGAAAAAAAAAACTATAGCTATCAAATTTATTTTTTTAACCATTTTTCCTTTAATTATGAACATGAATTATATCACCTTGCTTTATTTCACCAATAAAAAAAGTCATAGAAAGAAGGGTTAACGATCTAAAACTTGACAATCATCGTTATCATCACGATTTAGTATTAACGATCTAAAACTTGTCAGTTTTACAAATTAAATTGAGCTACCCTGGAACTTGATTCTAAGAATACCGGCAGCACGAGTTAGTATTTTTTTTTACAACACAGGGGGCAAACGAGCATGCGGCTCACCTGATGGTAAGTGATTACCGCCGCCCATGATCATTCACAACACCAGCGGCATTGCAGGTGTGCTGCCGACCTTTTAAAAAGGAATATGCTCTTTTCTTGAAGGTTACGTTGTCGTATCGGTTCGAAAATACTGCTGCTGGAAGTTGATTCCAAAGAGTGGTTGTACATGGAAGAAAGTGCCTTGAAAAACGCACGGTGGAGGACCGCCACTCGTCCAGATGGTTGGGATGAAATTTTAGTTTATGGCGGGTTGTACGATGGTGAAAATCTGTTAAGTTTAAAGTCCCTTTGTTCATATTTGTACATAGGCTATTTATTATCCAAAGCTGTAAAAAACTACCGTATCAATTTTTTATTCTCATTCACCTTCTCCATTACGTATCGTCTGCAAAGATGGCAGTCAATTGTTCCGTATGTTTGTTCTGCCGCCGTCCGTCACAGACGCGACTGCCTCTGAACAATATTGGTAGGACAACTCATTACCTGGTATCAGGTTACGTGTGAAATGTGCGGGAGTAAGGATCAGTTTATTTGTTAAATAGTTACCTGATTTTAAAACACAGATTAACAATTAACTCAACCGACATGGGGGGGAGAAGGGATTGTTAGTAATGGGGATTAGTAGTCCCATTGCTAGCAATAATACCAGAGGGAGACTTTGTACAAAAGTCGATAGCTTGGGTATCTCTGTCCTGTTCGTGTTTCAACCGTGAAGCAGTTGTCTTTGCATGGTTGTGTTTCTGCTTGAAGGGTGCGATATCGCAGTGAATTTACAGGGTACAGAGGAATAACACCTGAGTCCTCAGGAATGGCAACGCATGGGGGGTATCATGGGCGAAACAGTATACTCTGTTATGACCGTGGTACTGCTCATGTCTATAGGCGACGGTTACCACTTTCCATCAAGTGGGCCGCCAGCTTGTTTGCCATTCTAAGTTGTATAGAAAAAGATATTCTTCTGGTATTATTATAATAATATATTATTGTAATTGAAACTTGAAATTAAAGTGATACTGTAATGTAAGCATTATCCCAACATTTATTCACTTAGATTACTTCACCGAATAAAGTATTCCCGTAGTCACGTGTCACGTCATCGCAGCTTTACTGGTTGGCTAAATATCGAGTGAATGACATCAGTAACAATGACAACTGTGCTCATACGCTTTGACAATGGGCTCGACCCTAACACCTAGTGAACCGACTTGAAAACAAGGTGGTTCTCGTTTCAGTTGTATTTTTGTATGTTTGTCACCTAATAACTCCGTCAGTTGTAAACCGATTTGGAAAATTCTTATTTATCTGAAAAGATATACTTACGGATTGGTGTCATAGAAAGTTTTATTAAAATCGGTTCCGTAGTTTAGGTTTTAATTTAAAATAAGTGGCTTTGAAACAATTGAAGTCGGTTATTTTTGTGGGATAGATAGATAGATACTCTTTATTGTTTCCTCCAAAAGATTATAATAGTAAACGTATTATAGATACAGTGAACGCTCCATATAAGCAACCTCTCTATAAGCAACATTCTTTATATTTTATTCATTCTGCTCAGCTTAGTTAGTAAAAGAAATAAGTGAAAATATTTTCCAAACGGTAAGTATTCTTGTACTCCTTTTTTCCTTATAAGCAACTTTTCCTAATAAGATTTTTTTTATTGAAATTGGTTTAAATGAGTTGCTTATAGAGCGTTCACTGTACAAACAATTATAAGAAATGATCATATTGAAAAAAGCAATGACAAATGGAGGCATCAGTAAATAATAATATTAACATTTTTAAACGGTATGTATTATGTAATTTTATTATCAAATTTGTATTTCATTCGGCTCCGAAATTTCGGAAAACAGTTCATGGTAGACCTTCTGATCACTGTATAGTTGGATATAAACAAAAAGTCTCATACAAACACATTAAAATGGCAACAAAACAAATAACTGTCCAACAGGAGTGCAAACAGTCCCTCCCTCCGTGCTTGTACCTATATATTGTACATCTATATGTGTATTTAAAACTATACAACGGAAAGAACATAGCTATCCGTTTAAGAGTTGCGCGGGCACGTCTCGGAATTATTTTAGCGCCGGAGTATCCCACCGGTGGTCTGGTTTAACTAGTATTATCATGTACATTGTACAAAGAAAGGAGTTTTTATTGTACATCGACGATGACAGTCAAGCATACGTCTCGCCTAGTGACCATCGGCTTCCATAGTCCATGAGCGGCTCACAAATATCTAGAGTCGGGTTAAATACTTTTATTATAATTTTGTATGTTAGCACGCTATGTTTATAACATTGATTTGGCCTTTGCTGTCATAATGTTGTAATTATTTTTAATGAATAAATAAATAAATAAATGAGCAGTGAAGTTACTGGTATTTTTTTATAATTATTTCAGCCGTTAATTTTTCACTGCTGAACATAAGGTCTTACCCATAAGGGGAGTTTTGCTAGTAGTTGCCACGCCTAGCAGGCGGGTTGGCAACCGCAGTTAGGTTTTTAGGAATGTTTTAAGAGGTACGCTGCTGTCTCTCCCTCGCCCTCCCTTAGTCGCCTCTTAATCTATACTTATAATAAATCTGTAGAGAGGTCAATTCTGTACATGAAATATATTTCCAAAATAACTATCAGGGGGTGATTAGTGATCGATACTGATGCCAAAAATGCAATCGGTAAAATTTTTGTCTGTCTGTCTGTATGTTCGTTATAGAAATAAAAACTACTTGACGGATTTTGACGAAACTTGGTACAATTATTCTGCATACTCCTGGGTAGGTTATAGTATACTTTTCATCACGCTACGATCAATAGGAGCAGAGCAGTGAAGGAAAATGTTGGGAAAACGGGAGAAGTTACTCCATTTTTAAGCTTCCGTCGCGTGTGCAGCCTTAATGGCCACTAATTTTTAAATGTAAAAATATCCACCCGTGCGACGCCGGGACGAACCGCTAGTTATTTATATTTATATAAAGTTTACTATTGTAATCTTTTGGAGGAAACAATAAAGAGTATCTATCTATCTAGTGTCAAGGTTACTAAAATACCACA